AAAAGTACTACAGTCTTCACAGTATTAAATATTCCAATCCATGTATATAGAATGTCTTTCCATTTATTCAGGCATTCATTAACTGCATTCGACAATGTTTTGTACTTTTCAGAGTATATGTTTTGTAATTAAGTTTATTTATACATATTTTATTATTTCTGATGTTTTTGTAAATGAAATTGTTTTCTTTTCACCTTTTCTCTGAGAGACGGTGGCTCACTCTGTCACCTAGGCTAGAGTGTTAAGGTGTGATCTCAGCTCACTGCAACCTCCGCCTCCCAGGTTCAAGTGATTCTCCTGCCTCAGCCTCTAGCATAGCTGGGATTACAGGAGTCCACCACCATGCATGGCTATTTTTATGTTTTTAGTAGTGACGGGGTTTCACCATGTTGGCCAGGTTGGTCTCAAACTCCTGACCTCAGGTGATCCACCTGTCTTGGCCTCCCAAAGTGCTAGGATTACAGGCATGAGCCATTGCTTCCCGCTGAAATTATTTTCTTAATTTCATTTTTGAATTGTTCATTGCTAGTATATAGAAACAAGATTAATTTTTAGCTGTGTGAGGTAGCTCACACCTATAATCCCAGTACTTTGGGAGGCTGTGGTGGGAGGATTACTTGAGCTCAGAAGTTCAAAACTAACTAGAACAAAATAGACTTTGTTTCTACAAAAAATTTAAAAATTAACTGGGGCCAGGCACAGTGACTCATGCCTGTAATCCCAGCACTTTGGGAGGCCGAGGTGGGTGGATCACGAGGTCAAGAGATCGAGACCATCCTGGTCAACAAGGTGAAACCCTGTCTCTACTAAAAATACAAAGATTAGCTGGGCATGGTGGTGCGTGCCTGTAGTTCCAGCTACTCGAGAGGCTGAAGCAGGAGAATTGCTTGAACCCAGGAGGCGGAGGTTGCGGTGAGCCGAGATCGCACCATTGCACTCCAGCCTGAGTAACAACAGCGAAACTCTGTCTCAAAAAAAAAAAGATATATAATCCTTTCTATATGTTGCTGGATTTGACTTGCTAATATTTTGTTAAAGAGAGTGTGTGTGTGTGTGTGTGTGTGTGTGTGTGTGTGTGTGTGGTTTTCCAGAGACAGGGTCTTGCTCTGTCATGCACGCTGGAGTGCAGTGGTGGTGTGATACCAAATCATTTCTGTCTCAAACTACTGGGCTCAAAGAATCCTGCCACCCAGTCTCCCAAGTACCTAGGACTACAGGTATGTACCACTATGTCCAGCTAATTTTTAAATTTTTAATTTTTTGGAGAGACAGTGTCTTGCTATATTGCCCAGGCTGGTCTCAAACTCCTAAGCTCAAGCAATCCTCTAGCCTTAGCCTCCCAAAGTGCTGGGATTATAGGCATGAGCCACCACATCAGACTTGTTGATGATTTCTACATCTGTATTCATAAGAAATATTGGTCTAAAGGTTTTTTTTATTGTGACATCTTTGTTTGGTTATCAGGGTAACACTGGCCTAAAAGAATGAGCTGGGAAGTACTTCTCACTCCAATAATGGAAGTATAATCCATTACTGAAAGTGGGGTATTAAAGTCTCTAACTACTACTATTCAATTGTCTATTTTCAGCTAATCTTCTATTTTTTGGAAGAATTTATGAAAGGATTGTGCTAATTCTTCTTTAAACTTTTGTCAGAATTAACTAGTAAAGCCATCGAGCTCTGGGCTTTTCTATGTGGGAATTTATTATTTATTAATTCAATCTCTTTACTTGTTATAGATTTATTCAGATTATTTCTTCTTTTATTTCTAGTATTTGTATATTTCTAGGAAATTTTTCATTTTATCTTGGCTTTCAAATTTGTTGGTATGAACTTAATGCTTTTTATTTCTGTGAGGTCAGTATTAATATCCCCTTTCATTCATAATTTTAGTTATCTGGGTCTTCTCTCTAGTTTTTTGCCAGTCTAGCTAATCTTTTCAAAGAACCAATTTTTGGTTTTACTGATTTTCTTCATTGTTTTTCTATTCTCTATTTCATTAATTCTGCTCTAATTCAATTATTTCTTTCCTTCTGCTAGTTTTAGGTTTAGTTTGCTCATCTTTTCTGTGTCATAAGGTAGAATGGTAGATTATTTACTTGACATTTTTCTTCTTTTTAAATATACTCTTCTACATGTAATATAGTCTTGCTATAAATTTCCTTCTAAGTACTTTTCTTTATCTGTATCTAATAAGTTTTGGTATGTTGTGTCTTCATTTTCATTTATCACAAAGTATTTCCTAATTTCTCTTATGATTTCTTCTAGGACCCACTGGTTATTTTTAAATGTTTTTAAATTTTCATATATTTTTTAACTTCCCAAGTTGTTTCTATTACTTTTAATTCAAAGCCTTTATGATCAGAGAGCGTACTTTGTATGATTTCAATCCCTTTAAATGTATTGAGGCTTGAAGTATACCTAGCCTATGATCTATCCTGGAGAAAGTTCCATGTACACTTCAGAAGAATGTATATTCTGTTCTTGGGTGGAGTTTTCTATAAATGTCATTAGGTCTATTTAGTTGTTACTGTCAATCAAATTTTCTGTTTCCTTGTGAATCTTCTGTTTAGTTATTCTAGTCATTATTGAAAGTGAGGTACAAAAGTCTCACTTTCAATAATGCTCCACTATCTATTTTTCCTTTCAACTGTCTATTTTTGCTTCATATATTGTGGACCTCTGTTATTAGATGTTTATAACTGTTAAATATTTATGATGAATTGACCATCTTACTATTAAAAAATTCCCTTTTTATCTCTAGTAACATGTTTTTGTTTTAAAGTCTATACTGTCTGTTGTCAATATAACTACTACAGGCCGGGCACGGTGGCTCACACCTGTAATCCCAGCACTTTGGGAGGCCGAGGCGGGCGGATCACAAGGTCAGGAGATCGAGACCATCCTGGCCAACATGGTGAAACCCCGTCTCTACTAAAAGTACAAAAATTAGCTGGGCATGGTGGCGTGTGCCTGTAATTCCAGCTACTCAGGAGGCTGAGGCAGGAGAATTGCTTGAACCCAGGAGGCAGAGGTTGCAGTGAGCCGAGATTGCACCACTGCACTCCAGCCTGGCACCTGTGACAGAGCAAGACACTGTCTCAAAAAAAAAAACCACTCCAGCTTCTTACAATGACTGTTTACATGATATATGCTTCCACTCACTTACTTTTAACCTGTGTATTTTTTAAATCTAAAATGTACCCCATATAGATAACACATAGTTGGATCTTGTTTTATTATCTAGTCTAAAATCACACTCAGATACTATTACTTACCAACTAGGATGGCTAAAATATAAAGGACTAATGTCAATTATGATAGTAAATGGAATAAAAAGTCCTCTGATCACATACTGATATCCAGTGTGTCAATTGTTATGACCACTTTGCAAAAGTGTTTTGACATTATCCACTAAAGATGAAGATACATAGCTGGGCACATGGTTCACACTGTAATCCCAGCACTTTGGGAGCCAGAGGCAGGCAGATCACGAGGTCAGGAGCTCAAGACCAACCTGACCAACATGGTGAAACCCCATCTTTGCTAAAAGTACAAAAATTAGCCAGATGTAGTGGCATCCACCTGTAATCCCAGCCACTCAGGAATCTGAGGCAGGAGAATCGCTTGAACCCAGGAGGCGGAAGTTGCTGTGAGCTGAGATTACGCTGCTGCATTCCAGCCTGGGCGACAGAGTGAGACACTGTCTCAAAAAAGATGAAGATATATATACACATTCATGCCTGAAAAATTCCATTCCTATGTATAGACACAGCAATTACATGTACACCAAGAGATGCATTATTCATAACAGCCAAAAACTGGAAATAATCCAAATGTACATGAACAGAATAGACAATAAACTGTGTTAAAATCATATATTGAACAACAAATAGCAATGAAAACATAAGCAAATTAATTTACATACAAGATTGGTATATGTCAAAAACATAATGTTGAGCAAAAGGAGTCTCATACAAAGGAATTCCATTGATATAAATCAAAGATATGGCAGGTGCGGTGGCTCACACCTGTAATCCCAGCACTTTGGGAGGCCAAGGTGGGCAAATCACACGGTCAAGAGATTGAGACATCCTGACCAATATGGTGAAACCCCACCTCTACTAAAAATATAAAAATTAGCTGGGCGTGGTGATGTGCACCTGTAGTCCCAGCTACTTGGGAGGCTGAGGCAGGAGAATCACTTGAACCCGGGAGGTGGAGGTTGCAGTGAGCCAAGATCACAACATTGCACTCCAGCCTGGCAACAGAGTGAGACTCCATCTCAAAGAAACAAATCAAAGATATTGAGACAAAACTAAAGTAGGGTACTGAGGAATAAATACATAAATTGTAAAAGAAGAAAGAAAATGTGATATACAGTATCATAGTGTTCTAGTTCTTGATTCGGCTGGTGTTACAAAGATGTTTGTTCCACAGTATCTGACTGGTACTTTTTTTTTTCACCTTTCTAGATGTATTATGACACAATAAAAAGGTCTCTTTTTTAAAAAAAAGAAAAAGAAAAACAGGCTGGGAACAGTGGCTCATGCCTGTAATTCCAACAATTTGGGAAGCCAAGGCAGGCGGATCACCTGAGATCAGGAGTTCAAGACCAGCCTGATGTATATGATGAAACCTTGTCTCTACTAAAAATACAAATATTAGCCAGGCGTGGTGGCACGTGCCTATAATCCCAGCTACTTGGTAGGCTGAGACAGGAGAATCGCTTGAACCTAGGAGGTGGAGGTTGCAGTGAGCCGAGATCATGCCACTGCACTCCAGCCTGGGCAACAGAGCGAGACTCCATCTCAAAAAAAAAAAGCAAAACAAACAAAAAACAAGTAAAGATGCCACATTGTCTTCCATTCCAATATATGGTAGACACTTAATTTTCCCTCGAATAATCAAATTACTATCTTTATTCCTTTAATTTTTCTTTTCCATAGTCTTTATATAGTTCACACACACACACACACACACACAAAATATTTTCTTACCTCAATCAAGTTCTGTAAAATCCAGACCAATCTCAAAGAAGTCTGCTGGGTTGTGAAAGTGAACAAACTGGCTGAAAAAAGTCGTTTACTTCTAGTGAAAAAGTGAAGCACTCGGCAAGAACTGTGAAATAGCTATATTTTAAAAAAACATATTTTAAGAAAATGCATTTAATAGTGTTTAAATTTTCCAGTTCAATTCTATATACATGCAAACAAACCCAATAACAAGTCATTTAACAACTTATAAAAGTGTTTTCTGCACTTAAGAAAATAAAAAACAGCGATATTATCCTTAATGGGTAGTTTGTGTTCTAACACATAAAATGCAACCAATTTGCTGTGAATTATCTTAGCAAACACCAGATGCTCAGGTACTTATAAACTTTTTTTTTTAACAACTATATTTTTCCCTCTCTACCTATTTTAACTATGACAGTGAAGGGAGAGAGTCTAGGAAGGAGGCTATATTTGTAATATTTTATTTCAGTGGGATATGTATACTTTAAGTTTAACCTATAGTATTTAGTAGTAGAATAGCATTAATTCACTGCTGTTCTAATAGTAACTACATAAAGCTATCAGTTAATCTTTGATTTTGAAGGCTCACAGTCCAAATATTTTCACATTAATCACAATCTCATATCTTAGCTTCAAGCTGTCTCTATGAATGAAAGCCGAGAGCTCTTCTTAGTACTAGATAATGACGGATGAGTTCTTATTAGCTTTTTCTTTCCTATTAGAAATCAAGTTAGCACTAACACAGAGAGAAGTTTCCCTATACATTAAGCACTTAAAATCTGGTTGTATGATTTTATTTAATACTATCTATATTTATCTAATGATCAAAGATAAAATATAAGCAAAATCTTTAATTTACAAAAGCCTTAGGTATACAGAAAACAAGCTTTGAGTTTTAAGGGCTTTAAGACATACTGGAAAAAAACAGAAAAACCAAAAAACAAAAACCCTATCCTGCCATACACTACTGAGATGTAGATGGACACTTCAATATGTGAAACAGATACTTTACAAAACACTTACGAAGTTTTGCCCACTTCTTGTTGAAGTTACCTACTTTTGTTAATCCTACCTCACTCCCCAAAATAAATTTAAAGATTTTGGCTTATTTACGAAAAATAATAATATAAATTTTTTCTTTCATTTTTACTTGATAATACATCAATTAAAATTCATAGACTCAGTCCTCTCTCTCTTTCAGTCTTGTCCTTTTAACATCCTTCTCATCTTGTTTAGTGTTACACCTTCTTCATTTTTTACATGTATATGTTTTTCTTCTTTTTTTGAGACAGAGTCTCAGGCTGTTACCCAGGCTTATACTTTCTTGCTAAGAGCTCCCTGCAACCTCCTCCTCCCAGGTTCAAGTGATTCTCCTGCCTCAGCCTCCTGGGTAGCTGGAATTACAAACATGCACCACCACACCTGGCTAATTTTCGTACTTTTAGTAGAGATGGGGTTTCACCATATTGGCCAGGCTGGTCTTCATCTTCTGACTTCACGTAATCTGCCTGCCCTGGCCTCCCAAAGTGCTGGGATTACAGACATGAGCCACCATGCCTGGTCATTTCTTTATATTTTATATGGCATATACATTTTCACATTATTTATTAAAATATAAGTCTTTTAAAAAGTATTTAAAGTGACCACCCATAATCCTTCCTTTCATTTCTTGTAAGAAATAATTTAAACTGAAATGCGCTATTTCTCCTTACACAAACTACACTCTTCTCATACAAAATTAGATTTAGGACACTTCTGGGATCTTCTGTTAAAATGCAGATACCTCGGGCTGGGTGGGGAGGTCATACAAAAATATTACAAGCTCCAATACCTGCATTTGTAGACAACAATTAGCATCTTCATTCACATGTCTAAATACTATCTACTAAGTAACTTCTAGTGTACCAAGGACTGTTGCTAGGCCTTCTAAAAACAAATTGAACAATATGGGCAGAATCCTTGTCTCTTTAAAATTTACATTCTAGGCCGGGCGGGGTGGCTCAAGCCTGTAATCCCAGCACTTTGGGAGGCCGAGGCGGGTGGATCACGAGGTCAACAGATCGAGACCATCCTGGTCAATTTGGTAAAACCCCGTCTCTACTAAAAATACAAAAAATTAGCTGGGCACGGTGATGCGTGCCTGTAATCCCAGCTACTCAGGAGGCTGAGGCAGGAGAATTGCCTGAACCCAGGAGGCGGAGGTTGCAGTGAGCCGAGATCGCGCCATTGCACTCCAGCCTGGGTAACAAGAGCGAGACTCCATCTTAAAAAAAAAAAAAAAAGATTTACATTCCAGTGAGAAGACAAATAAGCAATCAAGTCAATAAATAAGATGATTTAAGAAGACAGACTGTAAAATGAATCATTATTTAAAATGCTATTAAGAAACACATCCTGATTTCAGAGATGTTAAAATATAACTCATACATTGCTGAGGGGAAAGCAAATGGTATAGTTACTCTTCAAAATACTTTGGCAGTTTCTTACAAAACAAAACATGCAGTTACCATGTGACCTTGAGGTTTTTATCCTAGAAAAATGAAAAATTACATTCATCAAAATTCTATACAAAGAATGTTCATAACAGCTTTATTTGTAATAGCCAAAAACTGTAATCAGCACAGATGTCCTTCAACAAGTGAATGGTGAAATAATCTGTGATAACAGCTGCACTACTGAATACAACTCAGAAATAAAAAGAAACAAACTACGGATACAGGCAACAACTTGAATGAATCTCCAGAAAAATTATACTAAGTTAAAAACCAATCCCAAAAGGTTATATACTTAAAACCATAATCTTATGTATATATAACATTTGTTAAATTAGAACATTTTAAAAATGAGGACAGATTCGTGGTTGCCAGGACCTAGGAATGTCAGCAGGTAGGGAGGTGTATAGAAGAGTGGTGGATATAATTACAAAAGAGCAACAAAAGAGATCTTTGTAGTGATGGAACTGTTCAGTATCTTGCATATGCTCCTGGATACATGACACACACATACACACACACACAAATAAAATAGAACTGGGGAAATCTAATAGGATTTATGAATTGTATTAATGTCAATGTCCTGGTTGTGACATTATTCTATAGTTTTTCAAAATGTCACCATTGCGAGAAAGTGCAAATGTCTAAGGGATCTTTGTATTGTTTCTTACAACTGTATGTGAATCTACAATTATTTCCATTTAGTTTTCAGTTTATAAAATGCATATCTCAGAATCTTTGAAATTTATTAAGTACAATGAAGGAAACAAAGGACAACATAAGAGATTGAGGGCAAGGGGGTTCCTTTAAATAGGATGGCAGGGAGGGGCTCCCAGATGTGCCACATAAGCTGGACCCTAAAGAATGAGAAGGATCCAGTCATGATGGCAGAGAGATTCCCTGCATGTACAATGGTCTTCAGGTAAGAAATAGCTTGAATGCTACAAGAACAAAAACAGTCTGGCAAAGATGGAGTTTCCAATCTTTAGCAACTTCAGGGAGAAAGGAGTCTAGGAAGTGTTAGAACAATATAGCCAAACCTTGGTAAGGAGCTGGGATTTTATGCTAATAGCAAAGAGAAGAAAGCCTTAGCAAACATTAGGCAAGAATAAGAACTACAGTAAGAAGACTGGGCATCTGGGGAGACTGGAAGAAAGCAACAGTGGCAAGAGGCTGCAAACACACCTCAACTACTGCACCATTTTGCTTGGAGCGAGCCTTGGCCAAACTAATGATATTAGTGCCAGTTCTGGCAAAAAACACTCTAAACATTCCCAAGGGCCTCAATCAAACCATTAGCAACTGGAAAGGGACAACTGCAAAGTAGGGCTCCTTCACTCCCACGACAGGCCCTAGAACTATGTGTGCTAAACTGTGAAAGCTTGTGTTTGTGTACATTTTTTTGCTAAGAGAAACCAAAACTTTCATCATGCACATGTTCAGTATCAAGTAGACAAAAGTGTTTTAAATACTCAGTTTTGTTCTTGAGGTCACAGTTCTGCATTAAGATTTGAAATTTGAGGCTAGGTGTGGTGGTTCATGCCTGTAACACCAGCACTTTGGGAGGCTGAGGCAGGTGGATCATGTGAGGCCAGGAGTTCAAGACCAGCCTGGCCAACATGATGAAATCCTACCTCTACTAAAAATAGAAAAATTACCAGATGTGGTGGCATGCATCTGTAATGTCAGCTACTTTGGAGGCCGAGGAAGGAGAATCACTTGAACTTGGGAGGTGGAGGTTGCAGTAAGCTGAGATTGTGCCTGCACTCCAGCCTGGGTGACAGAGGGAGACTCGATCTCAAAACAAACAAACAAAAAAAGATTTGAAATTTGAGACATATTATGGAAGTAAATGTTTTCAAATCACAATTTTTCTTTTCAAACACAATTTTTTTCCAAAGAAATTTTAAACACCTCAATGACTAACTTAAAGAAAGTTTAATAAACTATTAAAAACTAAAATTATATACTAAGGTATAAAATTATACATTATAAATTGCATAATTTAAAATTATACATTATAAATTGCATAATTTAAAATTATACAATTGAGGGTTCATGACATTTCCTTATAAACCACTTTTAACTCCCTTAATTATTGCATCCTTCTTGTTAACAGCACCTCTCACAAGTTATTGCAGCAAGGTACTTTTTTTTTATGTTAAACTCTCAAAAAGAAAAATGTTCAGGTGAGATTATGGCAAAATTGTTTCACTCATGCACTGCTGTTATATTCTATAATATATTCACATTTGTTTTCATATTAAACTAATATCATAAAATACTTATCAAGTAAAACTGATGCTCTAGACACTCCCCTGGGCACCATCTGGTACCAGTACACTAGCAGAGAAGGCATTTAACTGTGAGGCATTAGAAGTATTAAAGTAATTACCGTGGAATACTGATTATGACATCAAATACTATAGTTCTGATGCCATCTGAGGAGCTGGAAAACTGTTTTACCCTTTGACTCACTAATCCCACACTCAGGAGTGAGGGCAATCTGGGACAAATAACAGAAGAACAGCTGATTTCATGATGTTACTCTTGTCACTGTCACCATTATCACTGTCATTTACTGATGACCTATTATGTATCAGGGATAATTTGGTATTGTTGGCTTTTTTTTTTTTTGAGACAGAATCTCACTCTGTCACCCAGACAGAGTGCACTGGAGTGCAGTGGCAATCACTGCAGCCTCGAACTCCTTGGCTCAAACAATCCTCTCACCTCAGCCTATAAAGTAGCAGGGACTACAGGTGCACACCACCACATTCAGCTAATTTTTGCATTATTTACAGATATGAGGTCTTACTATGTTGCCCAAGTTGGTCTTGAACTTCTGTCCTCAAGTAATCCTCCTGCCTCAGCCTTCCAAAGTGTTGAGACTACAAACATGAACCATCATGCCCAGTCCAGGGGTAATGATAAGAGCTTGCAGTAGTCTGCAAGTTATCTATAATATCTCAATATCCATCCTGAGCTTTTATAAAAGATGAAATTTAGGCATTTCATTCATCTAGCCTGTAACTTTTCCATTTCTCAAGGGTAGAAACACAAATTCTCACTAACATGTGAAACTCTGGTCCACCACAAGCGTCCTCAGAACTTCCTGAGGTACAAGTACTGAAGTCTACTACATATGTCTTTGATTTACTATTATTAAACTTCACTAGGGCCGGGCACAGTGGCTCAAGCCTGTAATCCCAGCAGTTTGGGAGGCTGAGGCGGGTGGATCACTAGGTCAAGAGATCGAGATCATCCTGGTCAACATGGTGAAACCCCGTCTCTACTAATAATACAAAAACTTAGCCGGGCACGGTGGCGCGTGCCTGTAGTCCCAGCTACTCGGGAGGCTGAGGCAGGAGAATTGTTTGAACTCAGGAAGTGGAGGTTGCAGTGAGCCGAGATCGCGCCATTGCACTCCAGCCTGGGTAACAAGAGCGAAACTCCGTCTCAGAAAAAAAAAAAAAACTTCACTGGAATGCGGAGTATGTGAATGTGTCTTCTTAATGTCCTAATAAGTAGGAAATAACATAATTAACTCATCATTAAGGGACATTTACAGAAAAAACACAATAATATCCAAATCACAGAAGTAAAAGATTACCTTCATTAAAAGAGAATTATTCCAAGATTTTACAAGTTCAACAGCTCTTAAGTCTTGCCAACTTATAAAGTTGTGAAAATGATTTCCAGTTTTCCTAGAAAGAGTAAAACAGTATTTTGATGCCCAAAATAATTCAGAGACTATGTTAAAGATATGCCATAAGAGAATACAAAATTAGAGGCCATACTGTAATTGCAAAGTATACTTTAGTTAGATGCGCCTTTCTACGTGATTTCTTCTTGATTTTATAAATTGAACACATTTTACAACAATTATGTGACACAGTATGAAATTTCAGGTCACATTCTTTCCACAAAGACAGTCCTTTTAAAACACTTCAATGTACGTTTCCAAAACCAGAATTAACTAAGGAAAAAGCCTTTGACCTGCTCTACACACTTTAAAAACATTTTTTAAAAGCCAGTGCTTTTCCCCTTTATTGCACTTATCCTGATACACAAAATCCAATAAAAACCTCTGACCTACAGAAGAGCTGAAATATTGCCTGAGTCTAGTTCTACACCTGTTAACTTTAGGGTTGGTTTAGCCATTGGGAACTAACATGCTTACCAAAATCTCTCCAACAAATAGAAATTCAATAAACCTTGGGTCAATATTACAATAAAAGTACAGAGCTAAGAAATAGAGAAGTAAAACAAAAACAAAACATTTTCCTTTGAGGCTCCTGCAAATCAACTACTGGCATCTACTAATCAACATCCAAGTCAAGCTTGCTTTTAACCCCAACTCCAGGCCTCCTCCTGTGTGACTGTAACCACATTCAATTACTAAGACTATCATTCTTTACTTAAGCATTCCACATCCATGACCAATGGTCACATACTTACCTTTACATATTCTACCACTGAAAGTCTAATACTTCAATATATTAATCAGCACATAGGAATAAAAGTTTTCAGTTCTCTCGATCTTACTCCTTAAGTACCTGGCCTTCGAATGCACTGCAACCTTTCACCCCTCAAACATTCCCTTTTCTTCCTACCAACCACTCTTTAGTTTGGTTACTTTCCCAGATCCCACTGTCTATTACTTTAACAGCTTTCCATCACACTCTCTAACACCTAACTTTAAAAATAAATAAATAAACTGTGGCAAAATACACATAATATGAAGTTTACCATTTTGCCTATTTTACATGTATAATTCAGTAGCAGTACATTCACAACATTGTGCAACCATCACCACTGTTTCTCTCTTTTTTTTAAAAATTTATTTATTTTACTTTAGGTGCATACTATATCTGGCATTTCTCCCCATGTTATCCCTCCCCACCCCCTGTTGTCTCTACCCTACCCCCTCGAACTGTCCCCTGCGTGTGATGCTCCTCTCCCTGAGTCCATGTGTTCTCATTGTTCAACACCCACCTATGAGTGAGAACATACGGTGCTTGGCTTTCTGTTCTTGGGTCAGTTTGCTGAGAATGATGGTTTCCAGATTCATCCAAGTCCCTACAAAGGACATGAACTCATCATTTTTTATGGCTGCATAGTATTCCATGGTATATATATGTACCACATTTTCTTTGTCCAGTCTATCATTGAGGGGTATATTGGGTTGGTTCCAGGTCTTTGCTATTGTACACAGGGCTGCAATGAACATACGTGTGCATGTATCTTTATAGAATGATTTATAGTTCTTTGGGTACACACCCAATAGTGGGATTGCTGGGTCAAATGGAATTTGTATTTCTAGATCCTTGAGAAATCGCCACACTGTCTTCCACAATGGTTGAACTAATTTACACTCCCACCAACTTTCTAAGAGTCTTCCTATTTCTCCACATCCTCTCCAGCATCTGTTGTCTCCAGATCTTTTAATGATTGCCATTCTAACTGGCGTGAGATGATATCTCAGTGTGGTTTTGATTTGCATTTATCTAATGACCAGTAATGATGAGCACTTTTTCATATGTCTGTTGGCCTCATATATGTCCTCTTTTGAAAAGTGTCTGTTCATATCCTTTGCCCACTTTTGAATGGGGTTGTTTGTTTTTTATTTGTATATCTGTTTTAGTTTCTTGTAGATTCTGGATATTAGCCCTTAGTCAGATGGGTAGATTGCAATAATTTTTTCCCATTCTGTTGGTTACCAATTCACTCTAATGATGGCTTCTTTTGCTGTACAGAAGCTCTGGAGTTTAATTATATCCCATTTGTCTATCCTGGCTTTTATTGCCATTGCTTTTGGTGTTTTAGTCATGAAGTCCTTGCCTATATGCCTATGTTGTGGATGGTTATGCGTATGTTTTCTTCTAGTGTTTTTATGGTGTTAGGTTTTATGTTTAAATCTACCACAGTTTCTTAAAACTCTCATCATCACCCCAAACAGAAGCTCTGTAACAATTAGAAAATAATTTCCCATTCCTTCCTCACCCCATCCCTTATAACCCCTATTCTATTTTCAGTCTCTATAAATTTGCCTATTCCCAGTATATCATATTTAAGTAGAATTATACAAAATTTGTTCTTTCATATTTGGCTTATTTTACTTAATGTTTTCTAGATTTATCCATATTGTGGCATGTATCAGAACTTTGTTTTATAGCTGAACATTATTTGACTGTATTTATACACTACATACTCTTTATCAATTCATCTGTTAGTATACACTTGGGTTGTTTCTATCCTTTGGCTATTATGATTACTGCTGCTTTTATATTGGTGTGAAGTATCTGTTTGAGCCTTTGTTTTCAATTTTTTTAGATATATAACTAGGAGTGAAACTGCTGGGTCACATAGTAATTCTATGTTTAACTTTTTGAGGAACTGGCAAACTGTTTTCCACAGTCTTTGCACCATTTTACCTTCCTACCAGCAATGTATGAGGGTTACATTTTTCCAAATCTTCACCAACACTCGTTATCTTCCTTTTTTCAAAATTATCACCATTCTACTGGGTGTGAAGTGGTATCTCAAAGTGGTATCACATTACGGTTTTAATTTGAAATTCCCTAATTACTAATGATATTGAGCATCTTTGTGTGTGCTTATTGACCATCTGTATATTACTCAAGTACTTTGTCCATTTATGAATTGAGTTGCTGTTTTCTTGTCGAATTACAGGAATTCTTCACATATTCTAGATATTAATCCCTTACCAGGGATTAGGAATTAAATATGTTACATGCTTCGAGGTTACAATTTGTAAATATTTTCTCCCATTCCACGAGTTGTCTTTTCACTCTGTTGATAAGTGTCCTGTTTTTCTGTTTTTCACCTTTATTCCTAGAAACCGCAGCATTTGCCTAGATCATGAACATGTCACTTCTCTTCCCTTTAGAGATCCAAATCGTCACCATTATCATAAGTACAAATCAGAGGAGTGATTTCCTATTGTTTTAGTCCTCAATCTTGGACAAAATTACAAACCAAACCTACCAAGACGTGCACCTTCTATGTTATATGCTACAGGTGGTTTTCTGAAGTCTTAACTGCAGTTATGTAACAATGATTAAATTTTTTCAGACACAGTTTTAAAATGTAAATTGCACATTATGTCAAGTTAATTTTAACATAGCTTGCTTATTATTCATAATTAACTTTAGGGTAATTTTTCTACTTTGGAGAGTTCCAATAGTCAAGAAAATTGAAAAACTTGTCATCATAAACAGATTTTTTTAAAAATGTATGTCCTTTAATATACAAAGTCCAAATTTATCTATTTTCTATTTTGTTAACTGTGCTTTCGATATCATTTATGGAATCACTGCTAGATCCACAGTCATGATGATTTTCCCCTGTTTTCTTCTAAGAGTTTTCAGTTTAAGCTTTTCAATTTAAGTACTTGGTGCATTTGGGGGTTCATTTTTTTATATGGTATTAGATAAAGATACAAATTAATTCTTTTGCATGTAAATGTCCAGTTTTCCCAGCACCATTTGTTGAAAAAACTATTCTTTTTCCGCTGGCTGGTCTTGGTACCTTTGTCAAAGATCTTTATCAAATACAAAGATTGTATTTGATAAAGATAAAATCTATTGATATATAATTCTTCAGAGCCATTCTACAATAGCACAGACTTATACACTTAAATCTGATGTTTGATCAATGGTTTTAGAAAATATTTATAAGGCAATATGTACCAGGAGTTGGGTATATAGCGATGAACAGAGACACATAATACTTCTGCCTTTATGACTGTACTTTCTAATGGGGAATTCAACCAAATACCAAATCACTCAGTTGCTCACTTACAGCAGGAATAAGCCCTATAAGGGATAAACGGAGGTGATGTAAGAGTATTTAACAGATGGCCCCTGTGTGGTGGTCAGGAAGGGCTTGTGAAATGACAATGAATCTAAGTTCTGAAGGATGAATATGAATCAGGAGTATAAACATTCCCAACAAGATGTGCTATATGTTCAAAGGTCCGAAAGCAAGATAAAGCATGTCTTAGAGGAACTGAAAGGCTAGAGTGGCTGAAGAGCAATGAGAGGGAGAGAGAAAAATCAGAAGATGAAAGTGGCATCATTAATTTACAACATAGAACAAGACAATCTAGAATACTGATTTCAAGTAATAGCATATATTCCAATATTCACTTAGCATTGACTTGGGTTTATTTTACCTCTATCTATAATAAAAGGAAAAATGAAGGAACAGTGTAACTGGCAATACTGTAAATGAATTGTCTTAAAACCTTCTAACAGTTTACACCACTCTGTGGCTCTTAATATATTTTATATCATAAGTAGTAAGACTCATTAATGTAAATATCAAATACTACAATAAAAATCTGGCCAGATACAGTGGCTGATACCTGTAATCCCAGCACTTTGGGAGGCCAAGGCAGGCAGATCACAAGGTCAGGAGTTCAAGACCATCCTGACCAACATGGTGAGACCCCCATCTCTACTACAAATACAAAAATTAGCTGGTTATAGTGATGTGCATCCGTAATCCCAGCTACTCGGGAGGCTGAGGCAGGAGAATCACTTGAACCCAAGAGGCAGAGGTTGCAGTGAGCTGAGATTGCACTACTGCACTCCAGTCTGGTGACAGAGTTAGACTCCATCTCAAAAAAAGAAGAAAAAAGAAATCTATTTTGTGTCAGGCACTGTGGCTCATGCCTGTAATCCCAGCACTTTTGGAGGCTGAAGCAGGTGGATCACAAGGTCAGCAGATCGAGACCATCCTGGCCAACATGGTGAAACCCCATCTCTACTAAAATACAAAAAATTAGCCTGGCGTGGTGGTGTGCACCTGCAGCCCAGCTCTCAAAAGGCTGAGGCAGGAGAATCGCTTGAACCCAGGAGGCAGAGGTTGCAGTGAGCTGAGATCATACCACTGCACTCCAGCCCGGCAACAGAGCAAGACTCCGTATTTAAAAAAAAAAATCTATTTTGTTTTTTTTACAAAGGGAATATAGAGTAATTTGTGTACCTGTATAATGAGATTGTAGACTAGGGTTGGTATTCTCATTCACCTGTATATGCAGTACAGCCCCCAGCACAGTGCATTACTCCCTGTGAGCCCTCAGTTACGAGTGAATCCTGGTTCCTGTGACTCACAGTTTGTACTGCTAACTGGCACACACCCTGATCTAAAGTTAGCTGGCAGAAATCTCCTTGAAGCAACACAGAGACTAAAGAAACAAAACAGCGCGTGATTTTTTTTTTAAGAACAAAAGGAATTTAAAAGAACCAAAGTGGAAGACATATCAGTTAGAGTTATTTAGAAAGTAGGCTAAACACACCACTTTTCGAATATATTGGGGAAAAAAGCTTAAACTGAAGAACACAAAGAAAGCTCAAAGACTGAGAAAAGTTATTAGGTTTCCTGGTCCCTAACGGGGGTGGGGGAGAGACAAGGAGAAAAACAAAAAGCAAGTTCAACGTTTTAGACCTCCTGACAGCAACTGTGAGGAAAACAATGTTTCTACAACAACGGCCATGAGGACAGAAATGCATCACACATGCAGGAGGAAAAACACAACAAGCTGGGAGGAGGAGCTGCAGGCCAGGACTGGGACGAACAATAGGTTTTTCCACAGGGTCTAGACTATCTCTCCTTTTCTCTCACAAATGAACAAGTTCTTCTGGCTGGCCCTGCGTTGTGCCCATTCTGTGTTATGTCCCAGCTGCTTGCTAGAGTGCTTGTGAAATCTGTCACCGCATGGGCTCCCTGGGGCCCAATGAGCAGAATAGCCTCCATTATTTCAATGTAAAAGAAGCACAAAGCCTTTCAGTTTTTTTTTTTTTTAGTATCCACTATTTCAGTTTCTACAAGCAAAGAATGTTCCCAAAACTCATGAAGGAAAACAAACATTTCAAACAAGAAGAAAGGACAACCATAATAACGAATTGTTTTAGGAAGAAGTCTTATCCCTCTATGACACAGCAACACCAGTAAGGAAAGTGAACTGTCTTGAAATCTAACTCTTGTACTCCTTCTAAAGTGATGTATAGTCCTAGGATCAGACACAAACTTTGCTTCCTAATATTCTGACCTTCCTGTCATGAGTGATATGGTAGCCAGGTACTGATGAAAGCAATCACTGGGGCCAATGGCCAAGTGAATGTGACACATCCAATCGGTTCTTTCCCTGAGAACACTCCTCCCTCCACTTTCATCCATCCACTTCTCAGATTCACACTGGTCCTGCTTTGCTGGCTTTTTTTCCCCGATTCACTTTAAATTTGGGAGGGGGAAAACTCCACATCCTTAGCTTGCATTTCTTTTCTCCACATAATCTCTACCAGAGAACACACCTATTTCTTGAGACTTCATCTACACCAACAGGTCCAAATTGGGGGTGATTCTGCCCCTCCAGGGCACATTTAGCAATGTTTTGAGACATTTGTGGTTCCTACACATGGGGGTGGGGTGGGCTGGGGTACTACTGACATCTAGTAGGTGGAGGCCAGGGATGCTGCTAGACATCTGCAACACCACGGGACAGTCCCCACAACAAGGCATTATCCAGCTCAAAATGTAATAGTGTCACTAAGATTAGATACCTTATCGGTACAGGTAAGTTTAATTCATCCATCCCTTCATCTGACAATATACTACTGTTTAAGATTTATTTAAGATTTGCCATAACCAAGGCCAGTGCAGGGGGTGGAGTAAGCACAGGAGAACTGCAGATGTAGTCATCAACCTGAGATGCAGCATGCCCTGGAAAAAAAAAGCATACTGGGCCAAGCATGGTGGCCCATGCCTATAATCCCAGAGCTTTGGGACGCCAAGGAGGCAAATCACTTGAGGCTCAGAGTTCAAGACCAGCCTAGGCAACAGGGTGAGACTCCATCTCTATAAAAAATTTAAAAATTAGGCCGAGTGCGGTGGCTCACACCTGTAATCCCAGCACTTTGGGAGGCCAAGGCAGGCAGATCACGAGGTCAAGAGCTCGAGACCATCCTGGCCAACATGGTGAAACCCCGTCTCTATAAAAATACAAAAATTAGCTGGGCATGGTGGCGTGCACCTGTAGTCCCAGCTACTCAGGAGGCTGAGGCAGGAGAATTGCTTGAACCCAGGAGGCAGAGGTTGTGGTGAGCCGAGATCACGCCACTGCACTCCAGCCTTGCACCTGGCAACAGAGCAAGGCTCTATCTCAAAAAAAAAGAAAAAAAAAAATTTAAAAATTAGCCTGGCATGGTGTGGTACATATAGTCCCAGCTACTTGGGAGGCTCATATGGGAGGATCCCTTGAGCCCAGGAGTTTAAGGCTGCAGTGAGCTATGATCATGCAACTGCACTCCACTCCAAACTGGGTGGCAGTGAAGACCTTGTCCCCCAAAAATAAAAATAAAAAGAACCCAACTGATGGAGATGTGCTACGCCTCAGTACAAATTAAATAAATGTTCTAGTCACCTCTGGGCTATCTCCACATTCACATGTCCAAAACCAAACATCTTATCATTTTTCCTTCTACCTACTCTACTACCCAATGCACTCCTCCTTATATTTCTCTATGATTTCTATCATACCACCCAAACATCAAGGCCAGCAGTATTGGTAAATTTGAATTTCGTCTTCTTGCCTAATACTGAATTACAAGCCAAGTCCTTGTGAATGCACCCTGATTATATTTCTGAGATTCGTCTTTTCTCCCTCCACTCTCTTTTCTTTCCCACTCCCCAAGCTCAAGACATCTTTTGGAGCCTAGTGCTCTAACAAAGACACATTTTACAGTGGTGTGTGTGGGTACATGGGGGAGGGAATATCAGTGTTTGTTTAAACCAAGAAACAGAGAAATATATGCTAGCTGGGTGAGGTGGCCAAGGTGGGAGATTCACTCGAGCCCAGGAATTCAAGACCAGCCTGGCAACACGGTGAAACCCCATCTCTACAAAAAATACAAAAACATTAGCCAGCCATAGCAGAGTGCGCCTGTGATCCCAGCTACTTGAGAGGCTAAGGCAGGAGGATCACCTGAGCCTGTGAGGTCGAGACCACAGTGAGCTGTGATCATGCCACTATACTCCAGCCTGGGTAACAGATAAAACCCTGTCTCAGTAAAAAATAAAAATAAAGAAACGTGTTGAAGGCAATATGGGGATAGTGTCAAGAACATATGCGTCTGAGTCAAAAACACAATTTAGAGTGTTGGCTCTGTTTCCTCACTGAACAACCTTGATCAATTTATATCTCTATAAAAACAGATATGATGCCTAAATTATAGGTATGTTGTAAGGATAATGGAACTTGGGACTGTCAGAGGTGTTTACTATATAGTAGCTATTATTAGAACTTCATTAAGTCTACATACACCTCATATGCTATAGACAGATATTAAATTTAGAGTAGACTGAAAATATAAACCATAAGCACAGTACCGTGTTTCTGAAATTTGTGAGATTCCTGTGACTATTTTTAGGTATAAGCTAATTTTTTAGATCTTTGATCTATGCTTGTTTGAAAAGCTAACTTGCCCAAAAGAAAGAAATGGAGAATTTTAATGACAGTAAGTCTTTTTGTGAGTTATTATTTTATATAAATCAAGCCCAAATGGCGTGCAGCAAGCATATAAGCCAGAAAGCAGGCCCATTTCATCCCTCTTAACCAAACAAAACTACTCTCAATTCACAAAGTTAAAACTCCCCAAAGAGACTTCATAGCCCTATCTCGGTGTGGCATGAACCTAGCAGTTAGGTGCTTAACACCAAATGCACTTACTTGTTCCACGTAATAAAAGTTGCTCTCTGTGTTGAAATGCCAAGACCAACAATTTGACTCATCTGTATTCCTGCAGCTAAAAGTAAAGATAGATAAAACACATATTGTAAAGCAGTGATGTTTTTCTTTACAATATTACAATATGGAAAAAAATTTCAATATAATCTTTAAGAAAAATATCTAGGTTTAGCATTCTAATAAAACAACTACAACTAATAAATAAAGCATTACTAAGATGATTCTGCAGCATTTTTTTACTTGAAGAAAACAAAGGTTGTTTCTTGTTTTGAGACAAAATCTCATTCTCTTGCCCAGGCTGGAGTGCAGTGGCGCAATCTTGGCTCAACCTCCGCCTCCCAGGCTCATGCAATTCTCCTGCCTCAGCCTCCCAAGTAGCTGGGATTACGGGTGTGCCTCACCATGCCTGATTAATTTTTTGTATTTTTAATAGAGATAGGGTTTCACCATGTTGGCCAGCCTAGTCTGAAACTCCTGACCTCAGTTGATCCACCTACCTCAGTCTCCCAAAGAACTGGGATTACAGGTGTGGGCCACTGTGCCTGGCCTTAAAGGTTGTTTCTTAATAACAAAATGGCTTTTTTTGTTTTAGATGTTGGGAAAAAAACAAATACTACTCAAAGTATGTCAGATTTATTTTTTCTTGATGATAATAAAAGATTGAATCTTAATTTAAGCAATGATCAATCATAATAGAAGCTGGTTGATGACAATAAAGAAAACTCTTAGGGAAAGTAGTTTAATTATTGAAGCTGAGACTTTTATTTCAACACAAACTGATGCCAGGATGCAAAAAAAAAAAAAAATTGACATTTTTGCCTAAATTTCTTAAAATATAGAAACTCGAGTATTTTTTGTGATATTCTTTAAAAAAACTATCCAGGCGGGGTGCGGTGGCTCATGCCTGTAATCCCAGTACTTTAGGAGGCTAAAGTGGGCAGATCACCTGAGGTTGGGAGTTTGAGACCAGCCTGACCAACATGGAGAAACCCCATCTCTACCAAAAATGCAATTAGTTGGGTGTGGTGGCACATGCCTGTAATCCCAGCTACTCGGGAGGCTGAGGCAGGAGAATTGCTTGAACCCAGGAGGTGGAGGTTGCGGTGAGCTGAAATTGTGCCATTGCACTCCAGCCTGGGCAACAAGAGTGAAATTCCATCTCAAAAAACAAACAAACAAAAAAACAAAACAAAAACTATTGATCCCACTGGGAAAATCTGGGACAACTTCAATTTGAGCACTGAGGAAAACACATCAACCCCCACACAGTATTCCAAAGGTATTCGCCTGAATCCAACTGGGAGGAAACAATCAGACAACCTCAAAATGAGGGACAGTCTACTAAACTGGCTTGGACTTCTGGAAACTGCCAGTGTCCTAAGAATGTGCTCTAGAGAGATGAAAGGAGCCTAAGCAGACTGACAGCTAAATGCAATGCCTCATCTTTGGCTGGGTTCTAGATTGAAAAAAGAAGTTTTTTGTTTTTTGTTTTCACTAAGACAAGAGAGAATATTGAAGACAGAGTACTGGAAAACGGTACTATGTTAATGTTATACTTCCTGAGTGTGATAATTACATTGCGGCTATAGGGGAAAATACTCCCTTTCTATGGTTCAGATGGGGAAAAAACAGTTTACAGAAAATGGTAAACATTGCAAAATATGTTTGTATCTAGGAGAAAGACATACAAGAGTTTACTGTACTAGTCTTAAGACTTTGCACAGACTTCAAAATATTTCAAACCAAAAAGATGAGAAACAGCAGCATTTCAGCCAGAAAAATGAAGCAAAAGACCTTTTAGAATTTACATTTGCAAGTCATCTTTGACGAGTTCGCAAACAAGGTTGCCATTTCAATGTTTTGAGATGTTTTCAATGTTAAAGAATGTTTCTAACATTCTTAAGGAACTAAGCCTTAGAGGACAGCTTTGGTCAGGAGTGCACTTTATGTCAAGTGGTCAGAAAAAAACAAAAACTTATTTTACAATAAACATAACTCAGTTGTAAACTCATGAGAGTACAAACTGTAAACTGTAATGTTTGTTTATGATCCTCTGGAATTTTGTGCCAAACAGGAAATCAAAACAGCACCAGCTATAACATGAAATGAGGAATGCTGAGCATTTACACTACAGCTGAAAAGAGACAAACCAGAGGACACAGCAAATGTTACCTTCCCTGACAAAGGAGCTCACTGTGAATTACAAATTTTCCTTGAAAAATACTGGGAAACTGTAATCCCAATAAAATACTACATATATGTATCACTCAGGAAAACCACAAGTACAGAAGCCCGATGAAAACTCTTATTATAATAATAAAGATTATTGTTATTTTGATAAATCCAATTACCTTTGACTGCTTCTTTTATTACAGTAACAAACTGAATCCAAAGAACATCAGGATCAATTTCTACCCAACCAATTTGAGGATACAGACTTTCTACCTATTTAGAAAAAGAAAATTTAGTAAAAACAACATTAGATCAAGTCAATAGTACGGGTCTTTGGGTCTCAAAACTACTGGTTAAAATAATTAACAACATGATTTTATTATCCAATTAATTTTTATTGTTAAAATTGAAAAAATACATATATATGAAATCAAAAAGGACTACATGCAAACACGAAAATAGCAGTAACTCATGAGTTCACAGAAGATTTTAGTTTTATCTCTATTTTTCTTTTCTTTTCTTTCTTTTTTTTTTTTGAGATGGATTCTCACTCTGTAGCCCAGGTTGGAGTGCAGTGGCATGATCTCAGCTCACAGCAACCTCTGCCTCCCAGTCCCGGTTCAAGCAATTCTCCTACCTCAGCCGCCCAAGTAGCTGGGATTACAGGCAAGAGCCACCATGCCCAGCTAATTTTTGTATTTTTAGTACAGACAGGGTTTCACCATGTTGGCCAGTCTGGTCTTGAACTCCTGACCTTGTGATCCGCCCACCTCGGCCTCCTAAAGGGCTGGGATTACAGGCATGAGCCACCGTGTCCGGCCATTTTCTAAGTTTTCTACAAGGAAGGCATGTTTTTATAATAGGAAAAAAGGCTTTTTAAAAATTAAAAAAAAAATTTTTTTTTTTGACACGGAGTCTTACTCTGTCGCCAGGCTGGAGTGCAGTGGCACAATCTCGGCTCACTGCAACCTCCACCTGGGTTCAAGTGATTCTTCCGCCTCGGCCTACCGAGTAGCTAGGACCACAGGCGCGTGCCACCACGCCCAGCTAATTTTTGTATTTTTAGTAGAGATGGGGTTTCACCATGGCCAGGATGGTCTCGATCTCTTGACCTCGTGATCCGCCCGCCTCGGCCTCCCAAAGTGCTGGGATTACAGGCGTGAGCCACCGTGCCTGGCCCCAAAAATAAATTTTTAACAAAGTTAATTTAGGTTCAAACCATGATGGAGTAAGCACACTCCACCCTGTCTCTTCCACTAAACACAAATGTAACAACTGGACAGAATGCATGGGGCAGCTATTGTGTAAAAAATATATCGCAGCAGGTGGACTGGGGAAGTAGATAAGAATTCAGGCACCATGGAATTGATGGTGAGTTTCCCATTTTTCTTCTGAAATCCCCTGGCTTACACTCAAGACATTCTGAAAACCAGAACTGGTTACTAGGGCACAGGGTAAGAGCCAGAAGAAGCTCCACGGTTTTGGCTCAAAGAATGAGAAAGGGAACTCCTAACATTCAGAGGAAATGGGAGGGATCTCCCATTTTTCTTTTTTCCCTTGGCTCCATACTTTTGTACCCACACAATCCTATAGTGGTGGCAGCAGCAGTGATAGTGGTATCAGTGCGTCTCAACAGGTACCTAAAATACCGAGGAAGGTAAAACTTCCTTTCCAGTTAGAGGAGCTGAGATCCCAAGAGGGTGTGGTGAACCCCCATGCCTTTTTTCTATGTGTGTTTCCGCTGCCTAACCCCAGACACATCCAGCTGAATGCGGTAATAAAAGCCCAGCTTTTTGGCCAGGACCACAAGGGGAGGCTCAGGGAATCAAAAAGTACCAGGACCATCTCAGAGAGGGAGGAGCTTGGAAAAGATGCCACAGAAAGTTGTATATGAACTCCTAGGCTCACCCCAAAGCTGCACTTGTATGGATGTAATCCTGAACACTATACCAAAGGTTTTAAGAATAGACTAAAGGATAGACCATTGCCCAGGTCCCAGACTGACTACTAGGTTGTATACACACAGGGCAGGTCCAAGTAGTACTGTCGAGATTTTGAAAACAGATCTGACATTGAAACTGCCGTCCACAGAAGACTGAATTTGTAGCCTGAACACAACTGCAATAAATACCTGCTAAAAGAAAAACAACAAGATCCTTCATAGGATTTATAAAAAACCCAGAGTCTTTTAACGTAATATTCAAAATGTCTAAGATACAATCCAAAACTACAAGGCATATGAAGAACCAGAAAAATCTTAACTAACATTGGAAAAGATAATCAAGAGATGCCAATGCCAAGATGACACATAAGGAGTCTAAAACAGCTGTTATGAAAATACTCCAAGAGAATGAATACACTTGAAACAAATGGAAAGACATAAAGTCTCAGCAAAGGTAACCACAGTAATCACTTAATTACATATGTGTATATCAAGGTCAGCATATCAAGACATCATGAAGAATACCTTAAAGATATCCCATTTTAAAAAGAAAGGAAAAAGAAAGTCATAGAAGACATAAAAAAGAAAATTTTAGAATTGAAAAACATACTAACCAAAATTTAAAACTTACTGGATGGGCTCAGTAGCAGAAGGGAGATAGAAGAAAATTAATAAACTTGAAGATAGATCAGTAGAAATTATCTGTACAACAGAAAGAAAAAAGATTAGAGAAAATAAGAACAAAGCCCCAGGGACATGTGGGACATAGCAAAAGGTCTAATACTTGTTTAATCAGTGGTCTCCAAAGAAGAAAAGAAAGAGTTCAGAGCAGAAAAAAAATTATTTGAGGGAAGTAACAGTGCTAAAAGTTTCCCAAGTTCAGTGAAAGATTTAAAACCTATGTATTCAAGAAACTCAGAAAACCTTTAACAGAAGGAACCCAAAGCATTACACACCCAGATATCCTAATTAAAATGCTGAAAAAAAACTAAAAGAAAAGAAAAAAGTTTGAAACCAGACACTTCACATATAGAGAACACCAATTTAAATGACTGTGGATTTCTCATCAGAACCATGAAAGCCAGAAATAAGTGCCTCAATATTTATTTATTTATTTTTTGAGAAGGAGTTTCGCTCTTGTTACCCAGGCTGGAGTGCAATGGCGCAATCTCGGCTCACCGCAACCTCTGCCTCCTGGGTTCAAGCAATCTCCCACCTCAGCCTCCCGAGTAGCTGGGATTACAGGCACGCGCCACCATGCCCAGCTAATTTTTTGCATTTTTAGTAGAGACGGGGTTTCACTATGTTGACCAGGATGGTCTCGATCTCTTGACCTCGTGATCCACCCGCCTCAGCCTCCCAAAGTGCTGGGATTACAGGCACGTGCCACCATGCCCAGCTAATTTTTTTCATTTTTAGTAGAGACGGGGTTTCACCATGTTGACCAGGATGGTCTCGATCTCTTGACCTCGTGATCCACCTGCCTCGGCCTCCCAAAGTGCTGGGATTACAGGCTTGAGCCACCGCGCCCGGCCCAGACTGGATTTTAACAAATGTTTTTTAACATGAACAGTGAGTGGGCAGGTGTTATCTGGCTTAGGGCAGAGGAAAAATGCCACTATCTCACTCCCTACTCAAATTACACTGCATCTCTACTCACCCTGGCTCCCATTTCACTCAAAGTAAAACCATTATTCCTTATAATGGCCTATAAGACCAGAGAAAGGTCATTTCTACCCTGCTCCTCAGAAGGTGAACTCCTAGAGGGCAGGGAATGTGTCTCCTTAGTTCATTTTATCTCCAGCATCTAGAATTGTCTAAGGTTTCTTAGATATCCCATAAATACAACGTGAATGTATGAATGAACATATGAGTGAACTATGAGAGTGATGCCCATAAGCAGAGACCAGAGATTCAAGGGTGGAACTCTGGAAACTAGAGGTTCCTCTGAAGGCTAGGATGCCAGATGGGGTTGTACATAGGACTGATTCAAAGTCCTTTTAAGGAGCCTCAATTCCTCTCCTCCAGCCAGATCACTGCCCCTCCCTAACCTGGCAGAAAGTAAGAGATTTACTACTGGAAGGGTTGAACCAGAGTTCTGTACTTGCAAATGACAGATATACCTAAGTGCTAGGGTATGGCATGGTACCAAAAAAACAATGCAGATAACCAACCAAGATCACCAGTTAAGGAAAATCTCTAACATGCAGTACAAAAAGGCCAAAATGAAGAAAAAAAGAACTCTGAGGGAACAGTGACAATACGAGGAGTCTAAGTGTTACCCAAGCTGATGTGGAAAAAGAATCTCGTATTCCCCAGTGAGCTCATCAGAAACAGATCTAACACAATCTATTCTCCTCTGTCAATTGATACTTCTGCCCTTTCTATGTAAGGCTTTTACAGACTAATAGTTCAACTACAGAAACACTTTCTTATCCCAAAAAATTCAGTGTGGGTATCATTGCTTCAAGCCTATAAACCTCCAGGCTTGACCAAGGGTCACTTCCCCACTTTACCAATCAGGATGTCACATGCCAACCCCAAACAAGTCACAATAGTGAAATCTGTTCCTTTACAGGAGGACCAAACCCAAATTAGATCAAGAATATAATAAAAGTTAAAAAAAAATTTTTTAATTAAAAACAAAAGATGACAACCACATACTCCTTTTTCAAGCATGTACAGAGAGTACACAGTATTGTTTTCTTTGGAGTGACCTTTCTGTCCTGTTCTTTCAACCAAGACATTATCATTTTTTATAGTTTTTCATAAAAACACGATGTTCCACTGAGGCACATAATAAATATTCTCCATTTTTAAAATCAAAATGTCAAAAATTCATATGTGGAGTTTCCAACACAAACTATTCCTCTAGTAGTTAATACAAATATTTAAGAGTCCCTAAGAAAGATTTTTTTAAAAATACTAATTACAGAAATAAGCTAAAAATGTATATCTGCTGTTAAACATTAAAAAAATAAATGCCATAAGAAATGATTGATATCTTCTCACAGCCTATTTTGTTCTTGTCTATAAAGGGGGATGTCTTTTTCTTTTTTTTTTAAATTTCTTTCCCAGTATCAATCAAATCATACACTAAGAGGTTTTAGGTTTCTATTACACATTCTTTCCAACTCAATATGATAAGAGGTGTAATTTTCACTTGACGAAATAAACACAATCAAGTGCTATGTCTAAGTCATAGAGCCCCATGAATTCCTAACAGTTTAACTGCAATTCAATTATTTATTCTGTAACCAGGAGGCAATAAGTCAGGCACTAAGTAGCAATGTAGACCAGCAAGATCCTTGTTCCAAAAAAACTCAAACTATCTGCAATAAAGGATCAGTTGCTTCTTGCTTTTTTTAAAAAAAGTCTATTCATTATAGACCAACAATTTTTAAAATCAAGTTTCTAGCTCAGGAACAGTAACTTGGGCCTGTAATCCCAGCATTTTACGAGGCTGAGGCAGGAAGATGGCTTGCGCCCAGGAGTTCAAGGTTGCAGTGAACTGTGATCTGGCCACCTGGGGAACAGAGTTAGAATCTGCCTCTCAAAATAATAATAATTTTTATAAAGTTTCCAGAAAAAAATGGCTTACAAAATAAAATCCCATGTTTCATTATTAGAGTCAATACATAAAATTACTCTGCTGAGTTGTTATACAAGTTCCCAAATGCTTGGTTTTCTTCATCTCAATCCTAGCAGCCCTGGAATAACACTTTAAGCAGTACTGCTATAAACTCCTACCACACAGAGAGGCATTGCTGCACATTTCTTAATCTAGGACTGTGCTTCATCTGGGAAGAGCAGGCTTTTGTGTGTGTGTGTGTATTTTTATTTACTCCTGTCTTTCTTTTTTCCAGACACATTTTCCACACTTTAGAGTCTTTGCAAACCATCCTGGCCTCCTGCCACTCACAGCAATCTTGATCCATTTGAGATTCTTCACCTCATTCCTTAAAAAAATAACGATCTGCCCCAAATTATATATTAACTGTGAAACTTTGCATTTTCTAGTAATTTATTTCTCCCTTTGGTTCCAAATATTTCAATTCCTTTAAAAAAAAAAGTGCTTAAAACAAAAGTACTTTGTGTCTAGAATTAAAAAGGAGATTTTAAAAAGTATCACTGTGTTTGTGGTAAATCCTCTTACATAGATAAGGAGTACCATTCCCTGAAAAATGGTGTCTGCCTTTCATTTGTCCTTTCAGTCTGGGATAGCCAGTTAGCATGTGGGTGGGTGGGCAGTGTTCCCACATAGCCAGCCAGAGAAGGGACCAGGGACCTACTACAGTCCCAGTTCCACTGTGTTGGTTCTGAAACCTGAATCGAGGCCAGGCACAGTAGCTCACGCCTGTAATCCCAGTGCTTTGGCAGGCCAAGGTAGACAGACCGCCTGAGGTCAAGAGTTCCAGACCAGCCTGTCCAACATGGTGAAACTCAGTCTCTACAAAAATCAAAAATTAGCCGAGCATGATGGCGGTTCCTGTAATCCCAGCTACAGGAGAGGCTGAGGCAGGAGAACTGCTTAAACCTGGGAGGCAGGGGTTGCAGTGAGCTGATAGAGTACCCTCAGGCAACAGAGCAAGACTCTGTCTCAAAGAAAACAAATAACAACAACAATAACAAAAATTGAATGGAAGGAAGTCTGATGTTTCTTCAGAACAAATGCTCAGTAACAACTCACTGGCACTCTAGGCGGACCTGCTCCTGGGCAAGTGCTACAAAGAAAAAACCTTTAAGTGAATGGGAAGAAGTGTGGGACACTGAGAAAACGGGGAATCTAGTGCTGCTAGGAATGGTTTAGGTAACTGATGGCTCCTGCCCTCCCTCAAATTTCTAACATAAAAAGATGCTGGTACTGGGAAGAGAAAATAAGAACACCCTAACAGGCTGGGCACGGTGGCTCACACTGTAATCTTAGCACTTTGGGAGGTCAAGGTGGGTGGATTGCTTGAGCCCAGGAGTTACAGACCAGCCTGGGCAACATGGCAAAACTCCATCTTTATAAAATAAAATAATTAAAAAAAAACAAATTTAGCCAGGCATGGTGGCCCCTTCCTGTAGTCCCAGCTACTTGGAGGGCTGAGGTGGAAGGATCACTTGAGCCCAGGAAGTCGAGGCTGCAGTGAGCTGAGATCGCATCACCGCACTCCAGCCTGAGTGACAAAGTTGAGACTCTGTCTCAAAAAAAAGGAATGACAATAAGAACACCATAACAAATAAACATTATTTTTGGTGCATTGACAGTTGTGTAGAAATCAACACTTTATTAATATGAGAAAAGAAGAATATCAATTTGCTGGTTTCTGACCAATATTATCAACAGTTCAAGGCTTTACTAACAACCAACTTGGCAGGTCTCTCAAACGAGGGGAAAAAAAGAATTGTATGAATTCTCAAAGATGGAAAATAGAAAAGTGACGACTACACAGCCTTCGAAACTTGCCCAATACCTCTAGTATCCATGGCAATTGCTCACGTGAGGAATCAGCATTTCCTGGAGTAGCAGTTAATAATGATGACAACTGAAGAACAATGAATAAACTTAAATTCTACAAATATATGAGAAGCTATTGAGGCACGAGTCCAAATGATATAAAAGAGAAAAAAGAAAAAAAAGAGTTGTGGAAAATTAAAATGTAAATAAAGACGGAGTGGGAGATCTATCAGGGAAGTGCAGGAAGAACCAAGCAACTCACAAATCACCCTCTGGCTGGATACGCACAGCCTGCCCAGTCCTGTCCGGCGAGTCACCTCAGTCCCACCCAGGTAAGGCTGGACAGGTGGCTCCCAAGGTGGCAAGAGGCGAGCGAGTAGCGCAGGTCACACACCGGGCCCTTGGAGCCCTCAGTCTGGACAGGAAGGGCGCGCGGGGTTCAGATCAGCCCAGGGAGGGAACACCGAGACCCAGCCCTTCCCGGCGCGCCGCTCTGGCCCCAGGGCCCGCGGGTGCTGCAGGTGGCTGCTTCCGGGGCGGTGGGTGGGGACCGCCCGCTAGCCTCCCGAGGCCGGACGCCGGGACTCGGCAAAACCCAGTCAGACCCGCTCCCAACCCCACCCCCAAGTCACCTTCTGCGCGCTGGAGCCGCAGACCCGTGCCGCCCGGTCATAGACGTGGCAGCGGATCACCGAACTGCCCACGTCCAGCCCCAGCACGAAGCCAGCTTGCTGCGGCTCCTGCACTCTCTGCTCCCGGTCCGTGGGCAGCCCCGACATCCCGATCCCGCACGCCTCTCCGCTACAGCCGCCTCCCCAGCAGACGCGCTATAAACCCCGGCGCTCCAGGACCCCAGGGCGCTGAGCCGCGCCGGCCACCGGCCCCACCCCGCCCCACCGCGAGATCCCAGAGAGGCCCGGCCCCTGCCGCGGGCCCCGCCCCGGCGCCGTGACGTCACGGGCGCGCGCCGGCGGCAGCTCCGGGTGGGTAGAGGTGGATGGGTTTGTGCCGCCCTCTGGGTCCCCAGCTCGCCAGCCACGCTCGGCTTCCGATCGCCGCGGCTGGCGTTAACTTGGCCTTTAACTCCTAATTCTTTCTCTTGCGTCTCCAGCTTCCTGAGAGGCAGCGCGTGCGTTTCTCTTAACCCTGGCTATGTTTGAGGAATCTCTACTCAGAAAAATACCCCATATGCTAATCGTAAGGAGAAAAGTATAGGCTAGTTTATATAAAAATCTCAAAAAGTTTCAAGGCGTCATTAGGCACATTTATTCATTTCTTACCCATGATTATGACTTGAAGGCTGGAGAAATTACAATCTCTGAGTAACTTTGACAGACTCAGCTGTGTCTCAGCGTTCATGCAGAATTTTTCAAGCTTAAAACATTTGTAGAGGTCACTACCATACATGGTTTCCTGTTTCCTTTTTTTTTTTTTTTTGCTAACATTTTGGGTGCGATTTTATTGCAGTATTATTAAATGCACAGCCATTGAATATGCTAGAGTTAAAGTGCTGTTTTTCAAAAATGAAAAACGTGACAAAAAATTCAAAATTTGGCTAAAAGTATTAATATTTGTTAATCAACTGAAAGTTCCCCATGACTTCTCTTCCCAGAAAACCTGGTAAAGTCTGCACACAATGCAAAGCGATAAATATTTGCTAAATGAAATTATGACACAAGGAAGAAGACTTTTCCCAGCCCTGTGGTGGGAAAGAAAGGAGAAAGCTTAAGGTGGCTGCTTTGACCATCGCGCTCCACTCCAGCGGTTGCTGTTTTTGGAATCTGAAAGCATCTCAGAGGCCCTTTACCTTTTGTTGCTCCCCAAGGGGATGGGTTAATCCAGACACTTGGCCAAAAGGAACAAAGCGTCCTGTGGAAAGCTCAAGAGTGTTACCTCCTGGGCCTGGAACTTTCCCGGGGAGAGTCCTGTTCTGCCAGGAGTGTGGAGGTGGTTCCTCGTGCACCACCCACCTCTCCACTGCTACCAGCACTCTGTGAAGCCAGGGCCTGAAAATATACCTTATCTTCTTTTTGTAAAATTAGCAAACATATGAATATATGTTTTGTGTGAAAACGTTTAACAATGCCTACTGGCATATCAATTAAGAAGTAAAAGATACTCGTTTGGCTGGGTGCGGTGGCTCATGCCTGTAATCCCAGCAACTTTCCGAGGCTGAGGCGGGTCGATCACTTGTGCTCGGGAGTTTGAGACCAGCCTGGGCAACATGGTGAAACCCCATCTCTACAAAAATACAAAAATTAGGCATAGTAGTGGGCTCCTGTAATCCCAGCTACTGGAGAGGCTGAGGCAGGAGAATCACAATCACTTGAACCCCGGAGGCAGAGGTTGCAGTGAGCTGAGATCACAACACTGCACTCCAGCCTGGGCGACAGTGAGATTCTGCCTCTAAATACATAAATAAATAAAATACTAATTTTGAATCAAATCTTGTTTTAGAGAAGGTCTTGCTCTGTTGCCCAGGCTGAAGGGCTGTGGCACTATCTCAGCTCACTGCAGCCTTGACCTCCTTGGCTCAGGCAATCCAACCACCACGCCTGCCTAATTTTTGCATTTTTGGTGGAGACTGTGTTTCACCCTGTTGGCCAGGCTGGTCTCAAACTCCTGGCCTTAAGCAATCCTCCCACCTTGGTCTCCCAAAGTGCTGGGATAATGGGAGTGAGCCATCATGCCCAGCCAAATCATTCCGTTCGCCGAATTGTCCTGTTAACCAGCTTGGTGTCAGACAATTTGACCAAATTGGCTTTTTGGCCATACAAGGTGAAGCTTGGAACATACACCTGGAAGAGTAGGGTTTTTTTTTCTTTGTACTCTGTCCAACAGTGCTGATTTGTTCCAAACAGCCTCAGGACTGACCTTTTTGGGTGTGTGTGTGTGTTTGTGGGTGTGTGTGTGTGTTTGTGGGTGTGGGTGTGGGGTGTGTGAATTATTGTAATTTGAAATAAATGACTGTGTGTGTGTGAATTATGGTAATTTGAAATAAATGACTGTGTGTGTGTGTGTGTGTGTGTGAGAGAGAGAGAGAGAGAGAATTATTGTAATTTGAAATAAATGACTAATGTGTTCAGCACTTATCAGGGTTCTCCAGAGAAACAGAATGAATAGGATAGAGAGAGAGAGAAAGGTTTATTATTTTAATGAATTGCTTCATATGATTGTGAGGGCTGGCAAGTCCTGGATATTTGTAGGGCAGACTAGCAGGCCGAAAAAAAGAGTTTCCACTTTGCAGTTTTGAGAAGACTTTCTTCTTTGGGAAACCTGTCTTTGTTCTTTGTTCTTAGTTTTTTTTTGTTTGCTTGTTTTTGTTTTTTTAGAGGGAGTCTCACTCTGTCGTCAGGCTGGAGTGCAATGTGCAATCTCAGCTCACTGCAACCTCCGACTCCCTGGTTCAAGAGATTCTCCTGCCTCAGCCTTCCGAGTAGCTGGGATTACAGGCACGTGTCACCACACCCAGCTAAGGTTTTTTTTGTATTTTTAGTAGAGACCGGGTTTCACCATGTTGGCCAGAATGGTCTCGATCTCCTGACCTCATGATCTGCCTACCTTGCCCTCAAGTGCCAGGATTACAGGCGTGAGACACCACACCCGGCCTTGTCTTTGTTCTTAAAGCTTAAAACCAATTATCTGAGACTCACACAGATTATGGAGGGTGATGGGCTTTACTCAAAGTCTACAATTTTAAATGTTAATTACTTCTAAAAAAAAATACCTTCACAGCAACACTTAGACTGGCTTTTGACCAGACAGCTGGGCATACAGTGTACCTAACTAGCCTAGCCAATCTCACACATAATTGTAACCATATCAGTTCCTCATTCACAACAGAGAAAACGGCTTTGTGTTACCTAAAGTTAATATTTAGTATATTTCTTGGCTTCTTGAACTGTGACACTTCCTTAATGATCCTTTTTATAAATTCAAACAATTATATTACATATTATCAAAATCAAAGAATGTGAAAACAGGGGCCTTAGAAATCACTTAATCTAGTGTTTCTCAAATTGTTTGCAGGTCTTGAACAATTCTGAGGCCCTGATGAACACTATCTTCCCAAGAAAGTGCTTATACACACACAGTTTTGCATATAACTGCAGCTGCTGGGTGTTGGGTAAAGCAAACCTAAAGATCACAGATAAAAATCAAGATCTTATTTCATTGCTGAGTAGGAGTGGCCTGGAGAAACAAAGAGATGCCATGTTTCTCCCACTTTCTTTTTCCTCTGCCAGCACCTCCTACCCTATTCTTACCTGAGTGAAAAGAGTAAGTATATGGGCAACAGGGCACAGGGCTCAGAGACTTCTAAGGTCCTTTGTTAGCTGGTCAGTCATTGTTCTTTATTTTAATTTTTTACAAAGTTTATAGGTACATAGTAGGTATATATATTTTGGGGTTACATGAAATATTTTGATACAAGCATGATAATTACGTCAGGGTAAATAGGGTATCTGTCATGCCAAGCATTTATCCTTTGTGTTGCAAACAATCCAATTATACACTTTTATTTTTAAATGTACAACTAAATTGACTATATCAAAAATTAGTCAATGTTGGGGTGAATGTGTTGAAAGGGGGACACTTAGACTGCTGATGGGAATGTAAATTAGTTCAACCTCCATGAAAAACAGTGTGGAGATTCCTTAAAAGAACTAAAAGTAGATCTACCATTTGATCCAGCAATCCCACTACTGGGTATCTACCCAAAAGAAAAGAAGTCATTATACAAAAAATACACCTACACAAATATATTTATTACAGCATAACTCACAATTGCAAAGATATGGAACCAACCTAAATGCCCATCAACTAATGGGTGAATAAAGAAAATGTGGTATATATACACCGTGGAATACTACTCAGCCACAAAAAAGAATGAAGTAATGTCTTGCAGCAACTTGGATGGAGCTGGAGGCCATTATTCTGAATGAATTAACTCAGTAATGGCAAACCAAAGTGGGAGCTAAGTACACAAAGGCACACAAAATGACGTAACAGACTTTGGAGACCCAGAAAGGGGAGGGTGAGATGGGTGTGTGATAAGAAGCTCCCTATTGGGTACCATGTACACTCTTCAGGTGACTGGTACACTAAAATGTCAGAATTTACCACTATATAATTCATCTGTGTAACCCAAAACCACTTGTACCCTAAAAGCTATTGAAATTTTTCAAAATGTAATGTGATTTTTTAACTATAGACATCCTGTCATGCTGTCAAATACTAGATCTTACTCATTCTTTCTATTTTTCTGTGTGTGCCTATTAGCTATCCCCACTTCCCCATAGCCCTACCTGCCCCCACTCCCCTTCCCAGCCCCTGGTAACCATTCTTCTACACTCTATCTCCATGAGTTCAATCATTTTAATTTGTAGCTACCATAAATAAATGAGAACATGTGAAGTTTGTCTTTCTGTGCCTGGTTTATTTCACTAATGACTTCCAGTTCCATCTGTGTTGTTGTAAATTACAGGATCTCATTTTTCTTATGGCTGAATAGTACTCCATTATGTGTAAGTACCATATTTTCTTTATCCATTTTTTTTTTTTTTTTTTTTGGAGACAGAGTCTTGCTCTGTCACCAGGCTGGAGTGCACTGGTGCAATCTCAGCTCACTGCAACCTCCACCTCCCAGGCCAAGTGATTCTCCTGCCTCAGCCTTCGGAGTAGCTGGGACTACAGGTGCACACCACCATGCCCAGCTAATTTTTTGTATTTTTGGTAGAGACAGGGTTTCACCATGTTGGCCAGGATAGTCGTGAGATCTCTTTAACTCGTGATCCGCCTGCCTCGGCCTCCCAAAGTGCTGGATTTACAGGTGTGAGCCACCGCGCTGGCCTTCTTTATCCATTTCATTTCATTTCATCTGTTGAAATGAACAGCAGAAATGAACACATAGGTTACT